TTTCCGAAAAAAGGGTAGAAAAATAAAAAGTACAGGATTTTGAAGTAAGAGGATGATGTGCCCACTAAGGAAAGGTAGGCGAATGGGAAGTAAACAAAGTAAAGTTTGTAGAGCTCGGTCAACTCCTTTTAGCATACGCCACGTATACATCCTCCGTTCCAAATAGTAGCGATCTTTGGATGGGTAGAATCGCATCTTATCGTCATAGTTCATCTTTGAATCTCTTCGTTTCTCACTCAGCTTGATAGCAAGTGAAGCAAGCAGGTAGGTTGGGGTTAAAATCCCCGCTAAAATGATGTGTATTGCCCCTTATTCAGTACTTTTTCAACAACATCCCCGTACGAGATCTACGGGAGAAACTCAGAGGTCAAAAAAGCAATCGAATAAATATTTATCCCATTCCCACAGCGCTATGTCTCGTTCCCTGCACTTTTTTCCCGATGTCTGCTATCAAATTTTTTTTTCAAAAGTATTTTTTTCGTCTCCACTCCGTTAATGCCATATGGTCACAGCAAAACACTGAGTCACTCCTCAGTTTTATCTGGAAATAAATCTCTCCTTGAAACAGTCCACTTCCATTATTCTCACCGGCCGCTATGTATCACATTCCAACCGGGATCAGCAGTTTTGAATGGCCTTCAATCGGGAGGAAACCCTATTTCGCCAGTAATTTAGGGGCAACTTTTTGTCTGTAATCATGAATTCTTGAAAGTAATTGGGTAAAAAATTCACAAATGTAATTACTCCGTCTGTTGTTCAACTGGTTCAGCCATCTGGTTGGATGGTTTTTCTGGTGTTCCATTTACGTTCAAGCTTTTTCGTCGAGAAATTACGGTCTACAGTAACATTACTCCAAATGGGAATTCTGCGAATGGAAAGTATTTTTCTTTGAATTTTGAATGTAGACTTCTGTCTCATTTGATTCCCATGCCTCTTTCGTTGCCTCTCGTACTGACCAATCCGGTTGGTATATGGATGGTGCAGTGGCAAAGAGCGCAGTTATCCTAATCGGCTTGAAACTGGGCTCGTATCCCATCAAGGCTATTTGAGCTTTTTTCATTCGAGATCGTGAATTGATCCATCACTCATACTGGGCTCGGCCAGCTAGTGTACATACCGGCTGCCCATTCCAATACCGCCATGACTCAGATTGTATGTCGAAGGCATGGCGTATTACTCACCCATTGTTATGAAAACAAAGCGCTTCAGTGTGCCCTCACATTTTGTGGAACTCATCATCACCTCGTACTTGCGAATGTTGTCAAGTTCGCTAATTCGGAGAAACTTTCGGCTTTCCGGAAAGTGTGGTGGATGTATACACTGTAAAGAATGCCAGTTGTGTGAGATCGAGTCCCACTTGGGAGCAAAGGTTCTCCCGCTACTTGGTATTTTTGAGGAAACTCACCACCTCAATTCAAATTCTTTTCGATGATTTTCTCACGAGAACGGCT